TGTCTCCTGGGTGATCATAATTCATACAGTATGGAACTATGTCTTTATTTGAGTGGTCCAAAAACAGACACTACGCAATTTTTTGTTGCTTCAATATATATTAGGCCTTTCACATTAGATCATAAGAAAAGTGGTGGAAAATTCAGTTAGGGTGTGGACCATCATCATTGGTCACATACTCATAGCCATGCTAGGGTTGCACCCATATTCAGAACCCTTTGCCCATCCTACCAAGGTATATTCACAACCATATATTCAAAAGCTTTAACAATCATGAAGGAACCTTTGACATGAATGCGAAGAAAAAAGGGAAAAAAACATTAATTTAGACAAAATATTATGTACACTTGGGAGCAAACAAATTATTCTTTTACTTTTCTTCTTCTTTCTTTTCCTTAATGTTTTCTCTTCTAGGCAATTTGATGGTTCTTGTGTGGACCAAAGTCCACTTCATGACAATTATATATTATACTGTGCCATAATATAGAGGCAGTCTATGTTGAAACACATCAAAGCCTACCACATGGTGTCACCCGCTCACTTTGGTTGATTAAATATCCTCCAATTTGAATTTTTATGAACCCTCATGATGACTTCCCTAGTCCACTTTGAAGGTTGCTTGTAGCACAAAGCACATACATTAGCACATTACAAAAAAAGTGCCCCTTTGGGATATAATAAAGCATTGCAAAACATGTGAACAAATATCCATTTTATAGTTTCTTTTGACGCATGCGTTCAATGATCAAAGATTTAGAGTTATAAATTAATTGATCAGTTTGTTAGGTTTATGCTTTTGATTTCAGAAAATGGATAAGAGTTGCTAGATATGCTTTGTACATTAAGGGGTATGTTTCAAACCAAAAAAAAAACTCTTTACTTTACAAATTTATCACATGCAATATTTCATGGTTACTATAAGGAAATGGCAGATACAAAGTGTAGAGAGCTGAGAGTACCTTCCAACTCTAAGTGCTAATTCCAGCAAATGCAAAAACTTGCATTGCTGAGTCGATGACCATTTCTTCCTCTGAAAAAGAAAACCTAACAAAATCCAAAAAAACAAAGAAAAAAAAAACAAAACTAATTTGGGGATGTTTTTCATTTGTCAACTCCTTAGGTGGCTTCACGATGGTACCCTTGGCTGGATCCGGAAATTCTCCTAACGAAAGGATCGCTGTCTCTCCACGCGTCGTCGTTTGATGCCCATCATTAGTGATTGTTAACTTTTGTTTAGCTTTTGGTCATCGAAGTTTAAGTCAATTGATTGACATGGTCTAATTGTATTTTCAGTTTAAAAAAAAGTTAATGGTTGTTATCAAAATGTATGTTCTAGATTCACATTTGACAACATATATAATTCTTCGTCTAACTGACAACAGAACATTTCCCGGGAATGGGAAATACAAGAAAATTTATTACCGAAAGTTTTCTAGGCCAGACTAGTTCTCTGAACCTTCCAACAATTCAAAGTTGGAGGAATCTCAAGGCTCTCATACAAGGGAGCAACTGGGTACCCTCCACATTAACCATGGAAGGCTTTGGATTTGTATCTTCTAAATCTAATTCAATGGGGTTTTGTCATTGAACTAGTAAATTACAAAGATTGAACACCTTTTTTATTTAGCAGATTTAAACTCTTATTAGAAGCATGTATCAACGGCTGGAATTGAAAGTCGTCAGCTAATCGATGATCAATACTCTTGCGCGGCGAATATCTGGTTCCAGGCTCCAAATTAACCAAATTTTATAACTCCCTGGAATTTAACATTACATTAATAATACAAGTCAAAGTTCTTTGATCAGAGTAACAACCATTTCACTTCCAGATCTTGACAAACTTATCGTGACCAGCCGAAGCAATCAAACCTGTAACATTTGACACCGCCAAAGAAGCAATGAGTCCTTCATGTGCTGGTAGAGTCATTACCTTGTTCTCTGTCATGTTCCATAACTCCAGTGTCTGCAATTATTTTCCCCAAATAAAAATCAAAATATGATATCTTGCAGCAACACTAGTACCAGTAAAGGATTGTTTCTCTCGTGTAAAATGGGAACAAATATCCGAACGCCTTAAGAGAGTAGTGGTCTCCAAGCAAAAAATGTAACAAACATTACATAAGCACAATAATGGAGAATTTACTTGCCTGATAACAGCCAATGACAAGCAGTGAAGTATATGTATGATGGAAAACACACGATTGAAATTTATTTCCGTTGCAGCTCAACTCATGAACACATTCACCTTCGCCTCCTGCTCCAAGTGCCCAAACTCTAACAGAGTCGTCACTGACAGATGCGAGGAACTCACCAGAAGGATCCCAGCACACAGAATGGATAGGCTTAGTATGCCCCTGCATACAACACATGCTTTTAGAACATTGCTAAGTACCTAATCCTACAAAAACCACAATTTCCCAGTGAAACAAGCGTCTCAACATGCAATAGCATTTCCAGGACTTTTAAAGGACCCGAAGGCTCATCAATGTTGCATATACAGAACTCAAAAGATAATGTCACGTGCACAAACAATGTCAACATAGCGTTACATGATAGCATAACTCTCAGAATGATCACACAGAATATTATGTAAATGTAGAGTTGACCTGTAATGAATGCCGACAAGCTTGTGTCTCCACATCCAGTATATGTACAACATTCTCTGCAGCTGTAGCAAGAAATCTTCCAAGACGGGGTTGAAATCTCAACTGCCTCTTACCACCCTAATATGTTCAAACTTACTAATAACGAATATACCAAACAGTGCACAATCAAATAAAAAACCACTAGCTCACCCCACTCAACTTCTGTACACAAGATTCTACCTTAAACACGCTTGCACAAAAGCCATTGTTAATTCTCCAGTACCGTATCTCACCACTCGCATCACACGAACAGATAAGGTCATCATTGTTTGGGTGAAAATCTACTGACAGGACAGGAGCAGAATGTCCCATAAAGGTGCAAAATGAAACAGGCTGCAGATTTAAGACATACAAAAAGTTTTACAAGGCGAGATTACAGAATATATACGATCCACGGGACAGAAGAATGTTTCCACTAACATTGTCAGCATCCCAGATCTTGACAGTTTTGTCGAATGAAGATGTTGCAAGACGTGGCATGCTCGGACTGAAACGAACATCAGTTATCAACAATGAATGTTCTCCGAGAACAGCTTTTGGCGTTAAACTATCTGTGTACCACAGTATGGCCTGCAACACACAGATATCAAGCAATTCCACATTTATGTTCAGATATACATATAAGAATAGCAGCATTGCTCAATATGTATAGGAGCATTGAATTCTCCTCACAGAAGCTATTGGAAAATAGGAAATCATCACTCGCTCACCTTCTTATCAAGGCCACCACTAGCAAGAACTTTTCCATCTGATGAGATGTGGCAACTCACAACCTTGCTTGCACTTGCTCTAGCAGAGTTTTTTTCCGTAAATGTGAATCCTAAAGTCATATCGAAATTCCAAGTCTCAAAACAACCATCCATGTTTAATTTAGAGCCCCGTCTGGTAACCATTTCATTTTTAGTTTTTAGCTTTCAGTTCTCTTCGTTAGAGATAGAGGGAAATACACGGGAGAAAGGAAAGATGAAGAACGGTGGAGGAAGGATGGTGGGTGGAATGTAGAAGAAATGTATATGGAACGGTGCACACAACGAAAACCTATATCTCTATACAATTTTTCTACTGGATACATCCTCTATCGCTAGCGCACAAAATAAAACCGAAATAGTTATCAAACGGGGTCCATAAAAAAATAAAAAAAAAAACAGAGAATTGTCCACAATGTTTCAAAACAACTAAATAACAAAGTATTCACTAATGCACCTGTAGATTGTGCATCATCAAGAAGTTCATCATCTTCTGCATTTTCTGCATCGTCTGCAAATTGATCCACATCCGTCTGCAAACGAACATGTTTATCATCCCATTACCAAAATCATCAATTCCTTGTGATACCAAGAAGATGAAGAGATTACTCACCAACTGAACTGAGAGTGATGAAAGAGCAGCATCAGCACCAGACATCATCAGAGGCTTAAGGAGTTGTGGATGTGCTGGAGCAAAAGCTTTCTTTCTCTATTCCTCAACTCTTTTCCTTGATCATCTGTTTTCCTTGATCATCTTTCCACTTTCTAACAATTTTCATGTTTGGCGGTGGAGTTGACGCCCAAGTCAGCTTGAAAATTATTTTTTAAATGCTTTATGATTCAATTAGATAACTTTCTTTTTTATTTATTTATAAACAATAGTTATATTCTAAACTAATGAGAGGATAGAGAGTGAACACGAAACACAACGAATTTAAAATTAGGCAATCCACCACTTTAAACTTGACAGAAGCCATCATCCAAACTTTTGATCTAAATATTCCAAATTTTATACTGAAATAACGTAGAAATCTTAAATTTCAGGTAGACGGGCCATGAGCTCATTCCAACAACATCGATATTGTTCCCACTTGATCAAGTGCAGATGTGGGGTTTTAATACAAAAGGTCACAGTGATAGTTAGAGTGGGGTAATTCTATATAAATTGCTTGTTCTCCAACCTTCTGGCTGATGTGGGACAGAAATTCTATCAAAAATAATTTCGTTCGTCTATGTTGTACTTTAGAGAATCCAATCTTCCAAACTTGTTTTAGTTTTATCCGCGACTGACGGCGAAGTTCCCATCAACATGCCACGTGAAGTTACCGTTACGCCGAACAATTTCTCCCTTTCAAGCCTATCAACCCTTATGCTGCACGTTAAAACTGGGAGACTGGACCTTGATGACAAAAGAACTATCTCAAAGAGACTCGGCTGAACAAAAATGAAACGGGACATGATAATCACACCCATTTTCTCCACCTGCACACCCCTGTTTTATTACGTCCCATGTTTTCGTTCGATCCTATGCCCAGAAACAAGGGTGGGTGTGTGGCAAGAGGAAAAAAATATGTGATTTATCATTTTCCCGAATGAAACACGATGAGAATGATAAAATTTCTATCCTCCCGTCCGAAAACGTTACAAGAGCAGCATGAAGCAATTGAGAGATGTCCCAGTTTTTACTGTTACAGTAATAAGCATACAAATACAACAATAATGTTACAAGGACAGTTTCCGGGGGTCCTGTGGAGACAGTTCGATATCCCAAAAAACAAAAGTTGAAGATCAATCGAGCAACCAAAGACATAAACTACAAGCGTTGACCAAGACTGGCTGAAACCTATTCCTAATCTGTGAAGTTCAGTTAATCACAGTGACCATTTCACTTCCAGAGCTTGACAAACTTATCGTGACTAGCCGAAGCAACCAAACCCGTAACAGTTGACACAGACAAGGCAGCAATAAGTCCTTCATGTGCCGATAGAGTCATTGTCTTGTTCTCTGTCATGTTCCATAACTCCAGTGACTGCATTTTACCCAGATAAAACTATCAGTACAGGATCATTTTTCCAGGTGGTAAAATGGGAACACGCATCCCAACAGTTTAAGTGAATAGTGACCTCCAAGCAAAAATGTAAAGAACATTATATAAGAACAATAATGCAGAATTGACTTGCCTGATAACAGCCAATGACCAGCAGTGAAGTATACGTAGGATGGAAAACGCATGAATGAAATTTATTTCCGTTGCAGCTTAACTCATGAACGCATTCCCCTTCGCCTCCCGCTCCAAATGTCCAAACTCTTACAGAGTCCTCGCTGACAGATGCAAGGAATTCGCCAGAAGGATCCCAACACACAGAATGGATAGGCTTAGTATGCCCCTGCATTCAAATCCAAATTCCAAGTAATGCAGTTGAGAATTCACATGAAAATATTACATGATCCGTTTAAATTACAACTATGAAAGAAAAATTATAGTGAGACATAATGTTAGACTGACCTGTAAAGAATGCCGACAAGTCTGAGTCTCAACATCCAGTATAGATACAACATTCTCTGCGGCTGCAGCAAGAAATCTTCCAAGACGGGGTTGAAATCTCATTTGTGCCGTACCACCCTAATACATTCAAGCATATCAGAATCACCAAAACGTATATAATATGAAAACCACCACTACCCCACCCCCATCAACTTCCTACATCCCAGAAGACAAGATTCTACCTTAGACACGCATGAGCAGCTGCCTTTGTTAATACTCCAGTAGCGTATCTGACCATCCCCGTCACAAGAACAGATGAGGTCGTCTTTATTTGGGTGGAAATCTAATGACATAACAGAGGCCGAATGTCCCATAAAGGTACGGAGAGAATAATCAGGCTGCAGAATAAAAACATAAAGAAGGCTTGATACAACATGTCACAAAAGATAAATCATCTTTTTACGAATAGAAGCACGAACTCAGCACCCAAGCAATGAAGCATATAGATGAACTCATAATGGCAAAGATATGATAGAAATCAAACTAGAAGTAGGTATACTTAGTTTGATTACTTAAACAAGTCTTCAAATCTCGAATCAATAGGTTAAAATCAGAGTATAAGCTAAGTAGATGACAAGGACAGAAGAATTTTTCACTAACATTGTCGGCATCCCAAACCCTGACAGTCTTGTCGAATGAAGACGTTGCAACACGTGGCATGCTCGGACTAAAACGAACATCAGTTATCAAAGCTGAATGTTCTTCTAGCGTACTTTTTAGCTTTAATGTATCTGTGTACCACAATACAGCCTGCATAATACACATGTCAAGAACACTATAAATAAGTACAAGCATCAACCAACAAAGTAAACGTTATAGCTTTTAAGAAGTAAACTAAACAAACAATTTCACATGTTAATGTTCGGGAAGAATCAATTAGCCAATATGTAGCAGCAGTTCTTAATCCTCCCACAGAAGTTATTAGCAATTTCAACATTCATTCACTCACCTTTTTATCATGGCCCCCACTAGCAAGAAACTTTCCATCTGATGAGAAGTGACAGCTTGTAACCTTGCTTACGCTTGCTCTAGTACAGTTTACTTCCGTAAATGTGAACCCTGCAGTCAAATTCAAATTCTGAGCCCTCAAAGTAAACAATAGTAGCTGCAAACAACCAGGTTTACTTATTTTAATTATTTAAAAAAGAAATTATTTAAAAAGAAAAAAAAAATAACTATGATGAACAAAATAACACTTACAAATGCAATTCCCTGAAACCAAGTACATGACCAAAAAGATGTAGTTGAAAAGTAAGGTTGCAGAAAAATTGGTTGACAGATTTTTTATTAGTTGACCGTTTGCTATTTACTTCCTATGATAAGCTACATCTACATTCTCTCTTTTGAATGTTTACGAAGATAAGAAGAACGAGTATTGACATTGTTTGTGTGTTTGTGGACAACACAATTATATATGTGAGATAAAAATTGACAAAAGAAAAAAGACAAAGATCATTAATTGAGACTTGTGATTCAATACCGATGACTTGCACTGTCCTGGTTTTTATGAATGTATATATCTAATATTCAAGAAAATACGAAAGAATTGCATTGTAGGTGAGAAAATACTGGCAGATACTACGTTCAGGATGATGTTAAACAAAGAATTCATTCAACAACATGGCACCCACCGCACCTTTGCTGACATCCATACATCGACCAACAGCATCTCTATGATCCACATCATCAGGGGATAAAAAAGACTCGACATTATCATCAAGAGACCCATCCTCTACAAATCGATCCATATCAGCCTGCAATTCAAGATCTTTATCATCCCACTGCCAAAATGGAATCCCAATGAGAATCCGTGCAAGGAATTGCCAATTCCTTCTAAGACAAGAAGATGAAGAAATCACTCACCAACTGATGTGATGGTGATGTAAGAGTACCAGTACCATCAGCACCAAACATCATCAGAGGCTTGGAGGAGCTACCATTGTGGGGCAAGGCAGGCATTGAGATTACATCTCCAGGAGTGTGAGTCGAGGGAGTTGAGGGGGCTGAACTCGGGGAAGGCCCAGCTGTGTTTGCTGTTCCTGTGCTATTGGCAGGCCCTGAAGATGACACTGGCTGCTTTCTCTTTCTCCCTGGCTGGTTTTTTGAAACCTTAAATTGCATAGGCAAAACTGTATAAGGAGCTTCCCCAAGAATTCTCGACAATGTGTAAATAAAAAATTGAACAATTACTATTCTCCAAGGTTGTAAGTTTGATAAGCAATACGAGCCTGAGTTAATTGACCAAGAAAAAGTTCATAATAAATAACCATAAAGGGACAGACAGACCTGATCATTTCCTCGAAAAGAGTTCGACATGCTACCATCCATAGTGATGCTGCCAGCACCCCCCATTTTATCTTGCTGATGGGGATTGAGATTTGAATTTTGTGACTGCTGATTAGAAAGAGCGTGCTGTTGAAGCTGTTGCTGTTGCTGTTGCTGTTGAGGATTGCTGTTTTGTTGCTGCTGAAGTTGAGCCATTTTTAACTACAAACAAACAAACACTCTCAGAAGCCAAAGAGAATGAACTGTTTGATAATATGTCGAAGTACAGAGGGGGTAAACTCCACCACCATAACAATTACAACTACAAGTGAAATAGACGGAGATTGGAGCACCTTAATCAGCATATCTGTATCTCCACGAGGCAAAATAGGGCCACCAGCTTGAAGAGGTGATCCTATATTTGGTACCACGTCACCAACAGAATTTGCAAGGCCATCCTTCCCAGGACCGCGATTCAATAGCATTCTTAGTCTTCTACTCTCATCGTTGGCAGCAGACGGTGATGTCATATTTTGCTGAGCAAGCATAAGTTGCTGGTGTTGTGGTGTCAACATCTGCAGCTGATGAAAGGGCTGGGGAGCTTGTATGAAAGGTTTCTGTTGCTGAAGAAGTCCAGAGCGAAGCTGCTCCAAACCCTAACGTGGAGAAAAACGGTTGTAGAGTATTAATGGGTGATACTCCAAGCTTCAGAAATGCAACCAAATAGACGATAGAGATTTTAAATTTAAACGAACATTGGTCGCTTCGAGATTCTAAACTTCAGAGATGGACAACAAATGAACTAATATAGTTTCCAAATTCAGAAACAATGTAATTTTGATGCATTTAGCGCATCTATTACCATTGTTTTAATACAGGACCGGAAACTCAAGAAAAGAAATGGTCCAAATAGACATAAGAAATTTCTAACAAAGGCTAAGAAACAAACAGAAAATTATCCAGCCATCAAAAACTTACTGTGAGCGGCCATCCTTTTAAAGTCAAATTGTTTCCACCCTGATTTGATCCTGAAAAAGAGTCTTACATGTAAGGTACAAGCATCATTATACAATATCGTCAAAACCTACAAAATCTTTCAACTCTATAATTACTAACTCACAAATTACTTTAGTGTAGCAGGCTTCCAATATAAAAATAGAATACATTAAGCAGCACAGAGGATCAATATGTGCACATAATATTTCAGAGTGAGACATGGTCAATCAAACGTCGAGAAAGACAATACAAGAATACCAGGAATTCCTATTAATGATCCCTCAGGACCTGCAGCTCTGGGATTCAATACTGGATTGATTTCAGTCTTTATGTCCTGATTCCATATACAAGTCAGAACAGATAAACATGATCCAAAACACATAATGGAATTCCAAATAAAACTAATCATACCGGTGTAGACCCTGCCAATTGCTGATTTCGAGCTTGGACTTGTTGAGTCATCCCACCAGCTGTACCATGCAAAACTTGCCTGCAAAAAAGCGTTCACTATTTTATAATTAATGTTGATAACAGGATTAAGTAACAGCTTCCACATCTAAAACCCTATCAGTAAGTAGTTATGCGGGCACAGCATACGAACTAACATTTTACAGTTTTCTGAGACAAATGCAGGTCGCACTTTACTCTAAATCCTAAAAATACATAGCAGAGCAATCCCATCAATATGAAACCGTTTTCTCCAAGCCATAAATTTCTGTGCATTTAGTTGATTTGAAGATAAATTCCTAAGCATAAATAAACAAGTCCACATCATTTCTCAATGTATCGAGAAGCTCAACAAGCAAATAAGAATAGTGGAAGATACAAAGTCCTAGAGAAATGCACCCTGAAGGCTGGCCGGTTGCTGCAGCTGACTTCAATATTGAAGCATGATTTTGATCCAAAATCTGGCCCACATTTTCACCAAATCTCTGCTGCAGATTGTTCCTAATACGGGTCAGAAAACTGTTAAAGTCATTCTATTAAAAAAAATAAGGATAATTCACGTACCTTCATAGATGCATCATCCATAGCATCTCTCTGAAGAGGAAGTTTTAATCTTTCCTCATACATCTTTGTAGCCATGGCATTCGCTGTTCCAGGATTTTGTCGCATGAGAGGATCATTTCCAACAAGCCCATTTGTAGTTCCATTGAGAAGATGTGCCCCATCTCTTCTCTGCTGCGGCTGTGGCGGTTGCTGTTGCTGCTGTGGTTGCTGCTGTTGCTGCTGTTGTTGTTGCTGCTGCTGCTGCTGCTGCTGCTGTTGTTGCTGCTGCTGCTGCTGTTGTTGCCTTTGCATCATGAGTTGCTGCATTTGCATTTGCTGCTGCTGTTGTTGTGAGTTTTGCGGTTGCTGGGAATGTTGTTGCTGTTGTTGTTGCTGCTGCTGCTGTTGCTGCTCCCTTGCCTTAATCAACTGAGTCTGCAGTTTGAATATTCATGAGCTTCCAAAAGGCACTACACTTGTTTATAAGAACTATAAGAAATACCCTTGGAAAGCTTGTGATTACCGGTACATATCACACGCATTACAAACAACAACAACAACAACAACAAAGCCTTTTCCCACTAAGTGGGGACACGCATTACAAACAAAGACATAAAATTAATATGGCTAATTCACTATAAGTAACGATTGTAGAAATATACACTTAGTTATAGTAGACAAACAAACAGTGTTTGTCACGACTATTTGATGCCTCCAGTGAAAAAGATCATGCTTATTAGTTAGTATCAAGCGTGAGGTTGAGTGTGTTCATCCAACTTAGGCATTTTAGTCAAATTAAGGGCTATACCTATGCCATTAGTGTGGAAGACCAACAGATATTGGCCTACACATATTCAACCATCATGCACTGAAACAAAAAGAAAAAGCACCCTTAACCAGGCCAATACTTTAATTATAAGCTCAACAAAACAACCCATAAAGCAATTAGAAGTTTGAAAAAATGGCTGAAAGATACAAAGTACTTGTTACTCAAGAATGCAAAACAATCAAAAGTTTAATACTCATCTGAAATTGTACCAGTCAGCATATTTTCAGTTCACATACAACCATCAGGGGTTTAAGCCTTATGACCGTCAAGCAAATTGTGAACACAAAGTTTGGTGATGGGCAGAATGCAGCATAGCTAGAACCTTTGAGTTTTAATAATTGTTTGCCAAAATTGCAACAAAGGAATAAAATGTCTTCAGAGAGAACAAAAAGCAGATAGAAAATCAGAAGCAAAGAAGTCAAAACAACTTTTTCAGTGATACGACATAGATCAGAAATCCAGGGTGAAAACTGAATGTTCTATTATATAAACAGTAGTACGAGAATTAGAGTAAATCTTTATCAAAAGAAGAATCAGAGTAAAACATGAGATAACAAAGGGATCAACTGCAGTAGACAGCCAGAGAATGATAACTGAGCATATAAGAAATCACATATAAACTAGAGAAAGAAAAAGCAAGAACAAAAATCTCAAAATCTACCCTGACATAGGAGCTCCATTTTGTTCTGTGAAAAAAAAAATCAAAATGAACTCCCCTGGCATGAGAGTAGAAGTGCATTCCATTTGAATTGGCTTGTGAAGAAAACATAAAGCATGAAACAAGTCTCAACATTAACCAACTGCAAATTCCTTCTATTTAAAGCTGGGGAATATCAACGACGCAAAACACACCCTTTTCTCCACTCTTAAAATCTCTCATTGCAAATGATATATGGCCTACAGTATATACCAAGCTAGTACGTGATAAAGCATTCTCAAACTAACCTCAATGTAAGATGCCGCAACCTCTGAATGTTTCTCATTAGTCCTAGCAATGAATATATCCCAGAAAACCGACCACCATTCAAATAGGAAACCTCCCGGCGCATCAATAGCTGTAAAACCCATAGCCAAAAGAAAAATCAAAATGCAAGTTCAGCAAAGTAAAAAAAAAACTCATTTAAAAAGTAATAAGAAAGATAATGTCCATTACTCAAAAGATTTTTGCACCCCTTAGGTCAACATTTCTGTGCTTACCAACGGGATCTGAGGATACTTTTCCTTCTGCTTGGAAAGCTTGTGCAGAGGCTTTTAAATCCCGCTTCACTAGATAATCATGGATATACACATCCAGCCTGTTAATGACAAACAGATATTATCAGTCACACGAGTAGAAGGAGAAAAACAGTGAAAGACTATATTTTGGTTAACGAAAACTCAAATATTACTAAAAATAACAGAAATTATAGAGAGATAAGTGATGTAATAAACAAGGCTCAGTCCAGAAACCCAATTTCTACTGTAAAAAGTGAAGTAAAAGATTCATCAAAATAAAAAATTGGCCAAAAGCATACCCATTATAACAACAAACCCTAAATCCGCACAAATGAAATCAACATACAAAAATAAAAAATAAAAAAAGGTTAAAGAACCAAACTTTAATCCAAACTCTGCAAAAACTAACAAACCCCAGAGAATCCCAGAAACCCAGAATACAGCAAGGAGTCACTAAACTTGGAAAGAAAAAAAAAACAGAAACCCAGATAGGAAACTAAGGCTGAAAGTGAAGAACTAAACAATTTACAGCAAAAACTTACATTTTATCAGCTTCCCAGTTGGTATGAGACATGCTGCTGAATGATAAAATCTCACCCAACACTGGATAATAATGTCAGATTCTCAATGGCAACTTCTTCTGCTTTTCAGCTCTGAAGTAAATCAAACCCACAAGAGAGAAGCAATAAATTTTTGGTACAAAACATGGAAGTTCATAAATACAAAAAGGAATGTGCAGAAAGAGGGGGGAATAGAAGCAGAACAACCTTTGATTTTTATCAAACAAAATATAAAGAGACTAAAATAAATAAATTGCAAATTTATAATTTTCAGCTGATGTTAAATTTAATAAATTAATATAGAAAGGGAAAGATGATAGGGATACCTTCAAACCCCTTTTTTGTGAGGTTTAATACGGTGGTTTAAATCTTTTCTTTTGTTTTTATTTTTTCTTTTCTTCTCAGGGAACTAGGAATTTTTCTGAAAGAGTTGAAGTTGAACTGTTGGTGGATTTTGAGCTGCTGTTGCAGATATCATAATGGTTTTCCTCATTGAATTTACTTAATCAGCCCTCAAACCCTATCAAATTTTCAACCTAATACCACTGAGTTTGTGCAAAGCTTTTTATTGGAATGACTGAATTGCCCTTTCATATTGTCTGAAAGTAATGTGTTTATCAAATAAATAAATAAATAACAAAAAAGGTTCTGTGGTCAAATTGTAATTTTGTATAGGTCACCAGGAGTAATTTGCAATTTTCACATGTACCGATTGCTTATTTAACAAAAGGGATAAGGTTGTTATCTTCTGGGTAAAACCCAAAAGTCAATCTGATTGTTTTTTCGGTTATTATTGGAAGTGACAATAAGGTAAAAAACTTTATGAAGAAAATATAAGAATCATTTAGAAGTGATTTTTGAATAGATTGAAATTGTTTTTAAAAAAATATTTTAAGTTTCAAGAGCACTTGAAGTGTTTTTTGCATAAATCAATTCAAATGTTTTCCAAAATTCACTTGCATATTTACTAAGAATCTGATTATATAAACATTGTCATCAAAAACGTTTTCAGCTATATTAAAAGTACGCCCTTAATTTTTTCCATTACACCAAGAAGTAATTTTATTAGTCTAGTTATATCTTACATGATTAATATATTATATTATGATACTACTACTTAAATTGCGTGGTTTCTCTTCACTTGTAAGTGAGAGGTTTTAATTTTGATTTTTACCAAAGGCAAATTTGAATCATATTATTGCTAACTCATTGTAAGGTTTAACTAACTCCCTCTTAGGGTAGATAATATCGTTTGAACAAAAATATAAACAAATATAAATTATGTATTATGTATTATGTTATGATATTAAAAAAAAACTAATGAAAATTGTTTGAAAACTTTGAGTTTTACTAAGAAGAACAAAATAAAGGGTAAAGTGAATAGTACCATGATTGACTTTTTAGTGTAAAAATATAATTTTTCGTTAAAATAAATAGTACTGAAAACTTTTCGTTAAAATTCCCATTAAAAAATGCATTCATGTTAATCTTAATAAGTCCTTCAAGAAATGGATTTTCTTGAGCTTTGATCATTTTGATTCTTCCTCCAAACTTTATAGATTTCTGTAAACTGATCTCATCATGTATGGTGGCTTGCCTAACTCTAACTTGATTATATATTAAATTATAAAATATTGCTGACCCCAAAAAATTGATGGTCATTGGGGTTAGAGTATATTGCATATAATTGAAGATAATGGTAGCTTGAGATCATCCAAATGGGTAATCCTAGATTCCAAGTTCCTAAACAACCCTATAATTTTCAATCTTGTGTCAAATCTCATGATTGAAGAGATATCTTCAAAAGCATACATCTTTTAAGTATAAACGTGTATAAGATTTTCTTAATAAAAAATCAAGTGCTTTTTGAAAAAGCACGTATTAATTGTTCTTTTAAAAAAAAAGTTTTCATATTCATTTTTAAGTATTTCAGTCAAGCATATCTAAAAACGTTTTTATAGTCATATAATAACACTTTTAACTGTTTCAAAAACAGTCTAAAACAGGTCTTGTAGTAAAGATATATATATATATATTGACACTCTAAAAAGTCGGCATGCACTACTCAAACTTCAGTTTCAATCTACTTGTAAAATATATAAAAAGTAGGAGAAACAAAATGAGAAGGGCTTTGGATGAGATTGCAAGGTGGCTTTTGAATCAAGACATTCAATTGTTTGATAATATGATATAAGCCAATTACTTTTTAAAGGCTTCGCGCATTAGATTTAGTTCATATGAACTTTAACTGAAAACTAATAAATTTAAAATTTGACGTTTCAGAATCAATGTAAGACAGAAAGAAAAGGATAAGCACATGAACTTTTGGTACATGAACAGCATGCAAGACCAACTCATCTCATCTTATCTCATTCCATTAGTACCGTTTTATTTTTACCTTTTTCATGGGACAAAGTAATTTTTGCAAATTTTTAGAGGCTTGATAATGTTTTGTTGGATGTGTGAACACACAATAATAGATCAAATTAAGAATGAAGACATCTTAAGCAAAAGTAAATTATAGCAATGGTTCCTCAACTTTAACTCAATTGGAGCAATAATCCATCAACTAAAAACTATTACCACTAGTCCCTCAACTCATTAAAACGTGCAACTATGGTCATTTTCGTTAACTCCGTTAGAAACTTCCATCAAAATGAGTCACGAGCCATGCACGCGAGGCTAAATCAATGAGCAAATATGGAAAATCAAATCAAAACAATTGTGTCAATGGTCCTTTAACTTTAATTCAACTAAAGAAATGGTCTTTAACTTTAACCCAATTAGAGCAATAGTCCCTCAACTTTAACTCATTTTGATAGAATTTTGACGGAGTTGACGAAAAGGACAATAGATACATGTTTGATGAGTTGAGGGACCAATGGTAATGAATTTTTAGTTGATGGACCATTGTTTCAATTTGATTAAAGTTGAGAGACCATTGTTTCAATTTGACTAAAATTGATGGATCATTGCTACAATTTACTCCTGAAGCAAAGTAGGAATAGCCGCCATTGAAGATAAAATACTATTTAAAAAATTAAAAGTGATAAAGTTAATCCTCATGCATGTATATGAAATCTCTAGAAGGGAGGAATTACAAGATTGCTTTTCACGTCACTTGGAAAAACATTCATTACAAGATTGCCCACATTATAAAATAAAATTTAAGAAAAAAATACACTTTTTAAGTAAAAAAAAATCAATATAAGGGAATTCGTGATTCAAGGGAGTCAAAAATAGAAAAGAAAAGGAATGAGAAGGGGATCGATACTCTCATTTTTAATTTTTCAAGTATTGGATTACAGTGAGCACAAAAAAATAAACAATCATAATGTTCTGATGAATTGAAATAATTCTAACATTCATTTCTGAAATCTCCAACCATCTAGTTGTATTCTCAAAAACATAATTCAGTGAACAAAACCTACTGCTCTTTTGATATAATTTATTGGGATATTCACATATAAACTCCCAACAACATCACATTTTATAAAATGTACTTCAAACTCAATACTAAATGTGATAGCCATCCCGAAGTAAGAATATTGTATTTGCGATGACGTGAAATGTCTATTTTACCCTTGAGCATTGTGCGGTGTTGTGTGGTTTAAGTTTTGGATGTGGACCAAATATGTTAAGTCCTAATTGTTTTGACCCAATTGGAACTAAGTTTTTTTTTCCTTGTTTTTGGTTGGCTGCAACCTGGACCACACACTCACACACACACATCAACCCGTTGACTCTCTCTTTCTCTCCCTCTCGGATTTCTTCCATTTTCCGTACAGTTGTACTGTCATCTTCTCAAATCTACCTTTTCATGCACGGATCGAGACTATGAAGGTGGTTTTCGTGTTCCTTACAAGCTCAAGAGTTGATTTATACCCTTGGTTGGGCATGAGGACTCGTAGAACTCAAGTTACCCGAGCTCCGGTGAGGGGTGAATTTTCTCCAACGTGATCGCGAAGGGTTTAGGTTGTTTTGAGACCTAAGAAGGTATTATTCTTGCTTTTCTAGCACGTTGGATCAATTTTGGAGTGGTTTTGACGTAAGAACATTCGGGTTTAGTGAGTTGCAGGGTGGCCGGATTATCGTGACTTTTTCCGGCGATTTTCCAATGGATTTAGGACCTAAAAGTGGTAAGGATTTGTTCCTTTTGTCCTAAGCTTCATTTTGGTTCAAATTTTATGGATTTTGGTTGAGAAATGAGTGAGAATTAAGCTTAGAAAATTTTCCATAATTTGGTAATCGCAGCGGTGCCGGCGCCGGACTCCGGCTAACCAAGGAAGAATGAGGCGAATATTCCGTCAAAGTTGACGAAATATTCTAACGGCGTCAGGTATCTTTAACGGTATATGCTGATTTTTAACGGAATATTCCTTAAAGCTATTAAGGATTCCGTTTAGTGTGCCAGGCATGTGGCAACGTGTATGGCCGTGCCTTAGCTGACGCGTGGGACATTGGAAATTTTTTCTTAAAATATGGGGTCGTTCGTGGGGTTGAGTAGATCATGTTGGTATATTCATGCACCCCAATTGAGTAACGTATGAGAAGTTATTACCTAATTTTGTTTATGTGCTTTAAAATAACGTTTAAATAGTTGTTTAGCATATAGGTGAGACCTATCCAAAGGATGAGCGTAATCAAGCGAGACTCGGGGGCTACGACCCTTCCACATATCAGTAAGTGACCTTTTGGTTTTCAGTATATACTTATATGCTTGGTATTTTTCCCAGAAAATGTGTTTAAATGAAATTATGTTTTGAAATGTCATGCCTATTGATTTATACTTAAATTATGATTTAGTATAGTAATTGCATATATTTATGTTCGACGTTATGGATGCTCAGGTAAGTGCCAGGTGAGTTGTAGATTGTTAATGTGTGTTGATGATTATTTTGAGATGCATTGAGAGCTCATAAACCTGCATCCCAGTGTTAGTGCTCCCGCCCGTGGTTAGGGCACAGTCCTTCACGTGATGTTCACCTCCCGCACCATACGCTCACCTTGGATCTAAGTTAGGTGCACAGTCTTGTCGTACAGACCACTATAGGTGGTTCCGACTCGTAGGTGACTCGCGATTATTCACACAGTTTTCACGTGATCGTAATACTTGAGCGTATTTATTTACACTCAGTCCTGTCGTACAAACCACTATAGATGGTTCCAACTCATGTGCAAGCATACTTGTTGAGCTATAGGTTTAGCCATACAGGCCACTTTAGGTGGATCCGGCTGATATGTTATTTCTCATGAGTTTATTTCACCTGAGTTACTTATTCTGTTATTTTGAGATATTTGGCATGACATACTTATGAATATCGCTTTTCTGAGCATGGTTTTGAGTTATGATATATTCTATTTTCTGGGAAATTATACAAGTTTTACAGTGAGGGGTTACTACCTTTGATAAAAAGAAATGTGTTTTCAAAACCTTTGTTTTTGCCCACTCACACTTTCTGTTTTGTACCCTTCCAGGTTTTAGG